TAGCCTCTTCATCTTTGAAGCTAGTCTCCTCATTTTTTGGAATCAAAGTAGCCCCTTTGCAATGACTCTGTCGATAATTCGTTGATCCCGAAGGACTATCTGCAGTTTTATTTATTGTGTTAACAGAACAAACTATATATGTATATATATATATCATGACACGTTTGTAAATTGTAATGGATTCAACACAGTACCAGACCTTGTTTTTCCTCTGAAGATGATGAAACCCCAGCAGCATTTGCACAGAAGCCATGTGAAGCTTCTTCACCATTTAAACAACATTTCTCCTCTCTTCCGGGAATGGACACAGCATCTTCTCAGTAGTAAGTTCTTCTTCTGAGTTCTGAACTCTTTGAGTCTCCATTCACAGAGTCAATCCCCCCACAATTCGCTACTAGATCATCTGGCTCAGCAGACGTAGATACTAAATCAACATCTCAGGCTGCCCCCGAAACATCATCCTCAACTCCACCTTTAAATTTCCTTTCCATTGTCATCTTTTGCCATTAAATTGCTTCCACCATCCAAATCTCCACTTCTAAACTCAGAATCCGCCTTATTCAGGCTGTCCCCATCAACAAACACTTCAGAGCCCTTCACCTCAAACATAACATCGCTTTCATCTTCAGCTCGATCCATATTCACCATAAGGGTTTCCTCACTATTCTTGGCTGCTGCCGCCCCTTCAGGTTCATCCATGACCGCAGAACCTAAGTAAAGGTTCCAGCTTCATGAGTGGAAAGAAGTAAAAACCCCAATTCACCAATTAGGAAACAATTCCAAGACACATATAAACCCTAATGCTAGAAACTAATTCTAGAAGCACACAAATCTAAACAAGACCCTTATGCACCAAATCAAGAAAATCTCAAGAAACGAAGATGTGATCTTAATATTAAAATCCAAGAATGCATTTTTAGGATTATAATAACTACAATAGATGGGAGAAGAAGATAAAAAAAGTGGGGAGGAAAAAGATTACCTCTTTTAGGTGGTGTCCAGGGCTTCTGGCTAGTGAAAGCAGAGATTTTTGAAGGTTTTTAGAGAGAGAGAATAGTAGTAGTAAAGAAAACAAAAAATTGCTACTGGGTACCCCCTATTTTGTACTAAGAACTCGCAGGTCCCATTGTTTTTCACAATATACTCCGAGGTACTTTAAGATATTCAAAAACTGACTCCGGGGTGACAATCGGTTCTTCTTCTTCTTCTTCTTCTTCTTCTTCTTCTTCTTCTTCTTCTTCTTCTTCTTCTTCTTCTTCTTCTTCTTCTTCTTCTTCTTCTTCTTCTTCTTCTTCTTCTTCTTCTTCTTCTTCTTCTTCTTCTTCTTCTTCTTCTTCTTCTTCTTCTTCTTCTTCTTCTTCTTCTTCTTCT